CTCTCTCACACACTCTCTCTCACACACTCTCTCTCACACACTCTCTCTCACACACTCTCTCTCACACACTCTCTCTCACACACTTTGCTGATATTGTAGTTTGTTCCAAAAAATACTTGGGGCAGCTCACAATCATACTACACATACTTAACAAGATCAGATATAATACAACAAACACAGAGGACTTTGAACTCCTTAAAATTAGAAACAGATCAGGATATTACTTTAAATGTGGTAGGTAAATAAACTAAATTAAGCAGACTGAGGAGCAGGGAACAGGACTTTATAGTCCTTTGACACACAAACTACCACGTGCCTTCCCAGCTGACATAATTTTGAAGGATATGCACTTGTTACTTCCTATGTTCATCTTTAACAAGATGTTTTAAGGGGGGGGGGAAGATGTGAATTCGATCGATGTAGTTCTAAATCATAAACAAACCTAAGTCATCAGTGTCATCAGTGCTTGTTAAGTCTTCTACAGACTGGACTTCAAACTCAGGACTTGTGCCCACCTTCTGATAAGATCTTTTCCAGAGCTCTGACCTCTGTCCAAGTCAGTTTTCAAATCAAAAGGCTTTGAACTTCTGGCAGGTTGACAGTTTGGACCTTGGGTGTTTATCAAGAACTTCCTCAAGATAAGAAGGGGGCCTATGACTATGCCAGTCTCCCAGAGTTTCGCTTACTAGAGCTGGCACCCGGCCAGCCTCAGAACCCCAAGGAATGAGTCTGAATTGTCTGTGTGTGGTACACAGCAGATACACAGCTCAAACAGAGTTTAAGTTAATAAACAAGTGAGCCAGGTTTCAATTGGTTCTGACTCCAAATTGTGCAGCCTGGAATTTATTTGTGTTTATTTTTGGTTGACTAGAAGTTATGTTCCCTTGCTGCCTCAGAGCTTAAGTGAGAGGGCGAGACCATTGCTCCCTTGGTATCATGTGTGTGAGTGCCCAAGCGGAGACATCAACAATATGGCCACAGAAAGGCATCTCCAGTTACCTGGCTACCTGCTCATTTTGTGAGCTCAGAGGTCCCTCACCTTGGTTTTGTGGGGCAGGTCCAAGGCTTCTGACCCCAGGATGCCCTGGGGGACCTTTTGGCCTGAAGTCAGAAACATTTCAGAGTTCTCCAATGCTTTCTATGAAACTGGCTGGGCCTGCACTGACTGTCTCCTTATAACTGCAATCATGCAACTAAAGCCAATTTCGAATTTTTGCCCGCTTTTCTCTCTCCCAGCATCTATACTCTCTTTTCCTCTCAACTTGCTGTTCCAGCCCCCGTCACGCCAGGCTCCTTTAGGGTTTTTCAAACACGCCAAACTTCTTCCCACCCCTAGACTGTGCACTTGCTATCTGTGGCTGGAACTGCCTTCCACTGGCTGTTCCCAGGGCTTCCTCTCATTATGCAGGTCTTAAATCAAATATTATCTCCACAGGGACATGTCCACCCTATAAAAGAGATATGTCTCCAATAAATCTCCAGCCTATCACTCTATTTCTTCTACCGCTGACTGTAAATTGTAACTGTCTTGTTCATTTACTAGTATTTATTATCTGGGTCCCTCCCTAGAATATTCGTTCTCAGAGGATTCAGTTTCAGATGCTTCACTGATACCCTGTGATAGTGTACATATCTTCCCCAGCCTGCAAAAGGGCAAGAGCAGATTGTTGTTAAGGATCTGGCAGTTAGGACATCTTCAATGTTGGAAATGCCCTTCAATAAAGACACTCAGAGGGGTTCCTCTATGCCTCCTGGTGCTACAGAGAGCCACCTCTTCTCATGCAGTGCCATGTCCCTGAAACACCAGGTGAAGGTCAGAGAGAGGGGACCTGGCTGGATGGAGCACCTGGTCACCAGGACTCCTTTTAACTCTAGCAAAGTGGATATTGTTGGCATCAACGACCCCTTCACTGACCTCAACTACTGGTCTACATGGTCAAGTATTATTCCACCATGGCAAGTTCCATGCCAGTCAAGGCTGAGATAGGAAGCTGCCGACAATGGGAAATCCATCTCCATCTTCCAGGAGTGAGAGCCCGTCAACACCAAATGGGGTGATCCTGGTGCCGAATACACTGTGGACCCCCTGACCCCTTTGAGGAGGGCTGGGGCTCACTTTAAGGATAGGGCCTAAGCGCCATGATCTCTGTGCCTTCTCATGCCCCATGTTTGTGATGGGCATGAGAAGTGCAACTCCGTCAAGGCTGTCAGTGACTTCTGCACTATAGGCCACTTGACTCCCCAGCCAATGACACCCCTGACAACTCTGGCACATGGAGGGACATATGACCACAGCTGATACTATCACTGCCCCCAGAGACTGTGGATGGCCCCTCTGGGCAGCTGTGGCATGGTGGCCCGGGGCTGCCCAGAATGTCATCCCTGCTTCTACTGGCACTGCCAAGGCTGTGGGTAAGGTCATTCCTAAGCTGAACAGGAAGCTGAGTGGCATGACCTTCTGTGTCCTCATTCCAAGGTGTCAGTTGTGGCTCTGACATGCCGCCTGGAGAAAGCTGCCAAATATGATCACATCATGAAAGTGAAAGTGATGATGCAGGCAATCCCAAAGCCCCATCAAGGGCTTTCTCAGGGACACTGAGGACCAGGGTGCCTCCTGCAATTTTAACAGTGACATCCACTCCTGTACCTTTGATGCTGGGACTGGCATGGCCCTCAGTGACCACTTTGTCAAGCTTGTTTCCTGTATAAGAATGAACTCGGTTTCAGCAACAGGATGGTTGACCTCGTGGTCCACATGTGCTCTGAGGAATAAGAACCTCCTGTGCCACGAACCCCAGTGAGAGCACAAGAGGAAGAGAGGCACCCTCAGTGCTGGAGAGCCCTTCCCCCACTCATCCACACTGTAGCCTGACCTGTCACAGCTCTAGCTCAGACCCCCTGGAGAAGAGGAGCAGCTGAGGGAGCCCCGCTTTGCCATCACGTACCATCAGTAAAGTACACTGTACCCAGCTAAGAAAAGAGTTTCAAAGAAAATGGGTAGAATTTTCCCCATGAAGCACTGCTTATCAAATCAATGCGCTTACTATAAAGACACTGAGCAAACATAAATAAGGATCAGCGCAACCTTCTTTGCTACAAGACTGGGCAAAGAGATATGAGGAAATACAACAGAAGAAATCATTTCCTTCTTTGCCTGATGGTGTCAGGGGCTGCTGATCTTCTCCCAGAGGAAAAGGAGTGCAGTTTCTAAACAACCCTAACAAACAGAAACCAATCCAGTCAGATCCATCAACCCTGGAGAAGCCAGGACATCCTTAAGGTTATTTACCCAGATCCCTAGTGGATAGAAATAGAAATCAATTCTTGCTCCAAAGTATTCTGTAGCCGCCTGATGATGCAGCAACATAAAATTTCATTTTAGCATGTTGACAACTGAATACAAGTAAATTCTGATCCAAATTTATAGCCATCCCGGGGTACCTACAGAACTGAATGGATGAGGTTCACAATCAGATGCTATTAATGTTTATGCTCGAGCTTCCTTTTGGGCGAGGTGAGGATACTGAAGATGGTTTTCAATAACAGCATCTAATATTTGCACGTAAAGACAGTTCATGGGGGGTGTCTTTTTTTGAACTGCGGCAATATTTTGAAAAAATAAAAGTCCTTATCTTTAAAAGACCTATCGAAATATTCACAGGTAAGAAAAAAAGTCTCATATTTGCCTCAAAAGAATGCCAAGGGAAAGAGAAAGGATGAAGTACGGAGAGGGCAGTGGTGGGCCTACGCTGATAACCCAGGAGCTGGAGTCGGGTCCACTTGCTCTACCAGCACATGCCTGACATTTCCAAGGAGCCCTTAAAACAACTTGTCTTCACTCATGAAGTTTCCATTTACCTGAAGGTGAAGGTTTCGCCTTTCCAGTCCTGGCCTGGGTTCTCCAGGATGACATCCTGGGTCAGGGGTGAGTGCAGCCGCGGGGATCTGGGGTGGGGGAGGGTGCCCACATGACTGAAGCCGTCACACGACCGAAAGGGAGGAGCGCCCTTCTTCCGCGGAAGGGTGCCGTGTATGGACACGTCCTGATAGGCATCTGTGCGGTGCTCGGCGAGAGGAGACTTGCTGCCCAGGAGGTCCATAGACGAGGCCAGGGGGAACTGGTGATTCATGGGCATGTTTCTGGGAAGGCTGGCAAACTTTCCTGCAGCCATGCCTGGAAACTCTGAGGGGGAAAGAAAGAGGGAAGGTGTAAATCAAAGATAATCCTGAAAAGTGACTTCCTACCCACAAAATGAAACAGAATGCACAACAAAGGGGGATCTTTCTGGAGCATTAAAAGACAAAAACTTTTTTTTTTTTTTTAGCACCACTAGTGAAACTTACTGTGAATGGGAAGATTACTCATTTCCTTTTTTTTTTTTTTTTTTAGGGGCTATGGAGGCATCCTCCCAAGGCAAGCAGCAGACCTTTCAATAGAACAGAACAAGGGCCACCTCCTATTATTTCAGATGACTGAGGCTGCTGGAAAAGCATGACTCAAAAAATTGATGACTACGGTTGGAGTCAAGGTCATAGTCACAAATGCCATAGGGAAAAAGGTTCTAAATGTGTTAAATTAGTTTACATATTTCCACCCCCTGTAAATGATAAGAACAGGCGGAGATGGATAGAATTCCTTAGCTCCTGGGACGCTGTGGTTGTGTTACCTAGAGTGACAGGGCTGGATTTTTCTGGCCAAGACCTGATGCTTATAAATAAATTAACCTCCTCTAATTAATGACGATGGCCAGGGTCAGGGGTCGGGAGGTGGGTTGTTCCTCCATGTATCAGTGGGCTCAGCTGCGGAGGAAATACTGGGGGGGTGGGTGGTAGGATCCCTCTTGGGTGCAAAACCTGCCTGCCACCAGCAATGCACAACGAAGTCTGCATAGTCAGGGAAGAGTGGGAAGGGAGAAAACCGAAAGGAAATCTAAGGGTGGAGATGGGCAGAGAAAGAAAGGGGAAACAGCACATGAGGTCATATACAAAAGCAGCCTGTGTCAACCATTGTTCCCAACTGCGCTCATTAACAGAAATGTTCACCCAGGCTCAGGGTGAACATTCTGGGGGGGGACCCCCATGCCTCCCAAAAGCAAACCTAGGTTTTGACTTAAATTATATTAAAAGAAAAAAACATTTAAAAAGCCAACCTGTAGGGAAAAAGAAACATGAACCTGCATAAAATTCGGGCTAGTCCCAGCAGACAGGAAGGATCCAGAATCTGCCCCACTAGTCAGGGCATCAGACGGGCCTGGGCAACAAACACAGCAGCTAACTACGCACCATGCACCGGCCTTCCTGGAGGCTGGTGAGAACAGTGCTTCGCTCTGCTGTCTGTTCTCAAGGCCTGCAGCCCTGCTTCCTGACAGAACATGCTTCCACTGCAGAATGAACATCTGAGTGGAAACCATCCAGTAACGATGCTACTGTGGCAGAGTAGGTGCCACAGGGGACTGGGGACTTGGGATGTGGCCTGAAGACAGACAAGAACAGCCTCTGGAAGCCAGGATAGAGAGAGCAGAAACTGCAAAGGAAACACATGGCAACAAAACATGCCCAGCCCAGAGTGAAACCCAAAATGCTGGCTTCTGGGGGAGGAAGGAGACCCTCAGCTGCAGGAATACAAGCCCAGCCCCATCCTCAGGCCTCTGCCCAGCCTGGGTGCTGACTGTGCTGATGCTGAGCGCATCTCCCAATGCTAATTCCATATCTAACGGGACCACACAGAAGGCCTGGCTGGCTGCAGCTAAAGACAATAGGACTGAGTCCCAGGCTACCCCTCCCAGGTCTGGCCAGTACCTGGCACACTGTCAGCACTTGCTTAACATTAATCATTGTTATTAAAAAAAGAAGCCAAACTCCCTGGCCCTCCCTACCTGACCACCAGTGACATAAGCTGGCTAGGATTTCCTCATCTGACAAGCTCACGCTCACACCCCCCGCAGCTGTGAACACTCGCCTGCTCTATCAACACCGTCTTTCCTCACAGGCAGGCCTGGATCATTTCAAAGGACCTTGTGGGGAGGCCTGGACCACCCCGCAGAGCCTTTACTGCAAGGGCCACAGTGCTGCCTGAGACTTTCCAGGCTGCTACAATGGGCGTAAGTTACCCCTGCTTCTGTGTCTCCAGCGGCTTGTTGCGTCCATGCTTATCCCATATCTACCTGGATTTCAAAATGGAGCAAAAATGCTCGAGACTGTCCTTCAGCAAGTTATCCATTCCTCAGTGGATTCCCTAATATTAAAGGAATGCCAATACCTGCACTTCCTACCTGCAATCTCACGACATGTAAGTGCCTATTCCATGTAAGATACCTGGAGAAACAGAGGCCTAAGCCAGAATTCTAACAGCAGGAAACTGATCCACAGAGACCCATAACATGTTAGCAGGAACAACAATTAATTTTGAGAGAGGTTATCCTCAGAGAGGGCACCACCACAGGTGAGGGTTTTGAAAGGCTCACAAGTGCAGGAAAAGCCTTCTAAGAGAATGCTCTCTCAATAGCATGGGAATGTCCCCACAGGCTCTGGAAATGGTAGGCCACCTGTTATGGCCCAAAGTGAGAAGTTGAGAAGCGTTTCCAGGAAGAAGCACAGCTTAGAAGCAGATTGTAAAGTTCTTGAAGGGTGGGCCAAGGTGTCTGGACCTGCCAAAGTGCTGGAGAAGATAAGGAGGGACAGAATCCAGTCAGTGCCCAGGCAGGCTGCTCTGGCAGTTCTGCAGGCGAGAGACAAGTGGGGAGATCATCAGGCTGATGGCAACAAACCCACTGTAAGGTCCGGTGAGGAGCTCTGATCCCAGCAGCAGCCAGGGAAGGGGAGGAGAGAGCGCACGAGGAGCCTGAAGCAATGCCAGAATAGGCAAGTCAAGGGACAGGACCCCTAGGGGTAACAAGCTCCCATGGGAGCTTCAAGCGTGAAGTACCAGAGGGACAGCTTGATCTAGGGGGTGAGCTATCAGTCTGTGCATTGAGGAACCAGGACACAGTATAGTTTCTAAGATTTATTTATGCATACAGAACTGGGGTACAGACGAGAGGTGTGAGGAATTGAGAGGATTCACCTGAGACAGAGTGGGGAGCAGCAGGAGGGGTCTGCTGCGCCATGTGGTCACCTCCCTGGCTGGGGATCAAACTTGTGCTGCAGTTGCTGCAGCTAGCTTCACAGTGCTGTGCTTTATTTAACCCGTTGCGCCACCAGGGAGGGCCCCATGCTATAGTTTTAAAAGTCATAAACCAGGGCTCTCCCTGGTGGCACAACAGGTTAAAGCACAACACTGCGCAGTGCAAGTTCGATCCCAGCCCCAGAGGTGACCCACATAGTGTGGCAGACCTCTCCTGACCCGCCCTCCGCTCCCCTCAGCAGTATAGTTTGTCAATCGGCCTGTTCTGCTCCCCACTCTGTCTCTGGTGAAGAATCTCACCGCCATTGCACCTCTCACCTGTACCCCAGAGTTCTGGGTGCATAAATAAATCTTTTTTAAAAAAAGGTCATAAACCTAAAGGGAATATTTAAACCAGAGTAGATTCCTTAGCTTATTATTATCAGGTATGATAACAGGTATGAGAGTACCTCTTAAACTATCATGAAGCACACTATACCCATGAATTATATTCCTGCCCCCTGTCTCTCACCACGGCCGCAGCAAGTTTATGAGGACCAAAGCAAGCAATGTGTTCTGAAAATGTACAGTGGTGGTTCACCAGGCTGAACATAAGGATCCTCTGGAAAACACAATTCCGACACCCATGCTCAGACCCAGACCAATGACATCAGAATCTCAGTGTGCAGGACCCTGGCACTGATTTTTGTTTTTAAATCTCCCCAGTACTGCCCAAGGTAGAACCAGGGTTGAGAACCAGCAGACAGGTTGATATAGGGCAGTGAGAGAGGGGCCTGGAACCTCCCCTTTCCTTGGATCTACCCTGTTACAAGGTGAGTGTCTTGTGACAGTAACCGACACTCAGATTTGTTTACCCAGGCAACAAAATGGAATGTCAAGGAAGAAGTGTCCTTGGGTTCACAGAATCATTCATTCATTCTTCTAGTCAACACACATTCATGGAGAGGCTTCTACTTGGCGAGCACTGTGCTGGTTAGGGGCCACATCAGACTGTCCTCAGGAGGACAGTGCTATGACAGAGCACAGAGTAACAAATGAGCTGAAGTGCTGGCGATTCCCGGACTGTGGGAGCACCTAACCGCACAGCCGTTTCGATGCAGTCACCTGAAAAGGCTCCTTGAGGAAGGGTTGCTGAGCGAAAGACTATAAAACAGAGCTTGGTAGCTGGAGGGAGCAGATCACGCAAGCTGAAATTTCTAGAGATCTCAGCTACAGATAAAATCAGAAAAAACGAAGGCTCCCACTGCGGTTCACGGCCTCCAACTTGGGAATCTTCCCCATTACAGTGCTGCCTTGCCATGGGTTTCATCACTTGGCTCGGTCCCGGGCCCTGAGTCAAGCTTGAGTAGGTCCAACGTGAGGAAAACAGGGCTAGGCCAGACATCATTTCAAAAAAAGACAAAACAGACTAAAGGTGTGGTAAGAGATTGAAGGGGTCGAGGAGTAAAGGGCACTCACTTGCAACTGCTGGGGTCATACAGATGCCAAGAAGTTGGGGGGAAATCCAAGAGATTACAGTGCATGATGTATATATAGTCATTTACCCTAATTGATGGCTAGCGTGTTTATGTAAAGACAGAATCTGAGCTTCAAACTCATTTTTCCAGATAAGGAAAATCAATTATTTATTCACATACATTCCCTCCGAGGGCTTACAGCGTACCAAGGCTAAGGAGACAGTAAACTAGACAGCACCCTATTTCCCTGGAACCCACGCTGGGATGGGCGAGTCCAACCAGGGGACAAGAACACAAACCGGGGAGTATCGCAGTTGCAAATGTACTAAAGAACATAAAACAGAATGAAGAGACAGAACATGGGGGTGAGGATGCAGGGCCTCTGTGGAGCGATTGAAGGGCCTCTGTGAAGAGGAAACAATGACATGAGACCCCACTCCCCCCAAAAATAAAAGACTTGCAGTGGGAACACACTTGATGGCCTGGGTGGTGCGGGCATGTGTGTGAAAGGGGTGTGAGAGGAGTCACCAGAAATAGAATGAGGAGCAGAGCAGGCAGATCAACTGAAATACACTGCTGCGGGGAGCAGTGGCTGACACAGGAGAGGTCTGCTGCGCCATGTCGGTCACCTCCCTGGGCGGGGATTGAGCTCATGTCTCAAGTAAAACCGGTACCCCTTGGTTCCATAAAATCAAGCCAGGTATGTCTCAGAACTTAGGTTTCAGAGTCAGATCCCTCTTCATCGCTGATTTCCTAGCTGTGTGATTGGGAAAGTTATTCAACCTCTCTGACCATCAGCTTCTCCATGAACAGAACCTACTGCACTGGGGTGATTGTGAAAATAAATGTGATCGGGGGTAGAAAGCCCTTCACACACCACAAATACTCAGTAAGTCATTTTAACAGCAAAACTGGAAGAAGTTTTTCTCTTTAATTTAATAATGTACTATTTAAGCCTCTAACCAAAATATTCTTTCAACAGAAATCAAAATGGAAACTACCGAGGTGTTTTGACATTCTTTCTCATATTAAGTCTCTGGAATCTGGTGAGTACTTAGAGCACATCTCAACTCAAACTCCCCAAATTTCTCTTAATGGGGTTAGATCTTTGCTCTCCCATATATGTACATGTTCCACTAACCCTCCACCAAACGACTGGTGCCAATAAGCCCTGCCTCCCCCCTACCTCCCCCCGTCCCTTCTAAGCAGGTCAGGGGACCTGTCCTCTTTGGTCCCACTGTATCCCTACTATGAGCATTCAAAAATGAAGTCATTGCTTCTGCTGCAGTCAGAAAAGATGAGGGAAACATTTTAACCTATAACAGACATAAACACACCAAACCAAGGTAGACATAGATACAGATGCCGGTTTTCAAAGAAAAGCCCAGGTGAGACTTTGACCATCTGACTGCACTTTTCTCTACGGTGCAGGCAGAGAGCTCAAGTGTCCTTTCTCAGTCTCATACCACATCTTGAAATATATTCAAAGGTCAAAGACTATATCTTGATGTGAAAATATGAGACTCATGTGAATGTTCAGATTTGAAATCTGAATGTTCAGGGTCAAGGAGCCTAACACGCTCCCAATCAAGAGCAACCTTGTTGTCCCTGGCTGGTATATGAAATACTTGTAAACAAAGCCAAACATTTCCTATACAAAGAAATTAATGATGACACTAAAGTAGAGGCAGAGATTTGCAGCCTACCTGTTTGTTTTACTTCTGAAGTAAGATACACCTGGGCCCTCCCTAGTGGCACAGTGGGTTAAAGCTAGCCGCAGCAGCTGCTGATTTCAATCCCCACCCCAAAGGTGACCCACATGGCACAGCAGACCTCTCCTGTCTCACCCTTTGCTCCCCTCAGCAGTGTACTTCCTCAATCTGCCTGTTTTGCTCCCCACTCTGTCTCTGGTGAATCCTCTTACCACCCATGCACCGCTAACCTATACCCCAGTTCTGTATGCATAAATCTTAAAATAATAATAATATAATAATGAGATACACATGACCCCTGAACAAGGGAGGTGAGGCTAAACCTCCCAGCTGAACATCTGGCATAACTTCTGAGTATCCCAAAACAGAACTACAGTAGTCATTTGCTACTGACCGGGAACAGGTTTTAGGAATTCCTTCCCCATACCAAAATCCAGGGATGCTCAGTTTCCTACATTCTGTCCTCTATATTTGGGGTTCCTCATTGATCCTCATTGTACATCACCCACTGGTTGAACCCTTGAACTCCAGCAGTTCAAGCCCATGTTGTTCAAGGATTAACTGTATTTGTCATCTGGTATGTGCTTTAAGAACTTTCTGGCATACTTTAAACTCTGGAAATGTCATTGCCTCCACTGCCTCATTATGACCATGACAGAGAATTTACAATTTGGATCTGTAATTTCGTTTCTTCTCTGCAGTCCCAACAGGGAGAAGAAATGATACAATAGCACATATAAAATTGGCTAATCCACTTAAAAGTTTTGCTTGGGTTTAGGAATTAAGAATATCCCTTTATTTTTTAAGTAACCTTATGAAGTCTGGCCAAATGATTGAAGTATGAATAATTCTTCCATGGATTGTATTTCAAGCAACCCAGCACAGGATTTACATGATAAGGTTCTAAAAGATTAGCATGTATTTGAAGAGCAGTCCTTTCTTAAATGAAGAGGGAGATCTTGGTTAGGCTTCCTGGAAATGTCAGACTTCTGAGCAACATTTGTAGAGAAAGTTGCAGTGCGGGATTAAGGGAAACCCAGGTGCGACACCAGGTTATAATACACCGGCCCCTTGTACAACCTCTTGGCCTGTGGCTGTCCGGTTAACTCCACAGCCCCGTCTTACTAGAGTCCTCCGATTCTCCCAGCTCCACCCCCAGCACCAAGGCCTCCCCACCATTCTTCCCGGATCTAGGTTCAGTCCTTGGCAACTAGCAGGGAGATTACCCTCTCAGCTGACCTTCCCTCTCACCAAAGTATTTTTTCTTGGAGAGATCTGGGCAGCCTTGATAAATCAAGATGTAAAAGAGTCTCCACACGCCTGGCTCTGTGTTCCAGCTCAGCTAACAGTTTTGGGGACAGGAGGCTAGAAAGCAGACAGGAGGCTAGGAGAGACGGTCTTCTCGTCGCACCTTAAGTGAATTAACACCCAAATCAGACGTTTCCATCCCCGACACCGAGACGCGACCCACGGTGTTACCACGGAACCCAACGCCCGCCGTTGCGTCGGAGGCCCTCGATGCGCCCCCACGAGTGTCCACACCGGGACAAGCTCTCAAAGCGGCGGCAGCCTCGGCGGGTGGAAAGCGTGGGTCGAGGTCGCCTGCCTCCCAGCGCCCACCGCCCCTCCTCTCCCTGCCTTCACCTCCTCCCTCACCCCGCCCCGGCCCCGCGCAGAGAGCACACAACCAACTATTCATTCTTCCTCAACAAAGGGAGGGAGAGATGTTGTCAACAATTACAGGGAGGCTCCTAGGAGTTCTGCGCAAACTTTTGAGAGACGGACTTCAGAAGAAACTCAGCTCCAGCGAGCCCGGCGCTTCCAGCACGACGCTGGACGCTCGCGCCCCGCGCCCCCCACCGGCCTCCAGGCCCGGCGGAAAGGAGCTGGGGGGGGTGGGGGGGCGAGCTGCCCGAACCCGCAGTGGGGGCGGGGGGGGGTCTAGAGCCCGTGCCCGGGACGCTGCCGCCCCGGAGCCCAGACAGATGCTCTCCGCTAGTCGCCGAGCGCTTCCCGCCAGGGCCGCGGCTGGGGAACCCCAGGCGCTCCCGGCCGCGCGGGCTCCGTCCGGCCCCCCTCAGCCCCTCCCGCCCCAAACGCCAGTTCTGCGGGCGGCCGCGGAGCGCGGGTGCGCGGGCTCGAGAGTTCCCACAGCCCAGCCATCTCCAACAAACTCCTCACGGGTGTCTCGGGGAGGGGGGCCGCGTACCCCCGCGGCGCCGTATCCCCGCGGGCGCTGGGCGCGCGGCCGAAACTCACCACGCGCTGCGCCCGACGCCGGGGCTCTCCCGCCGGGCTCCGGGGCGCTACGCCGTCCAGCCCGCGCCGCGACCGCTCCCGG